GAGGACCGTTTGGCAGAATGGTGCGCAGGATCAGCTTGGGCACGGGCCGATCAGAGGCAGCCGACCTTGCAGCAGCCAGAGCGCCTCCCGCTAGAACAAATCAGGAAGCTCCCAACGGCTCTCGCAACGTCACGCCGCTTCCCAGCGCGACTCCTGTGAGCGCAGTCAGTAGCCCCGCTCGTCCAAGCGACGAGCGCACTGGTCCCACAGCCTCGACAACTGCAGCTCTTGCACTCAATGGAGCCACTAGTACAGCCGCTTCCAGCTCTCCTGCTGATGGACAGGCTCGACAAACGCACAGAATACGGCTCGTGCCTCACCTCGAAGCCACACGCTCCCTGCATTTTGAGCCAATTGAACGCGATCTAGTCGAGGGTAGCAACACTGTCAAGATTGGCCGTTTCACGGACCGAAATGCCAGTCAAGTGGCCAACGCAGGGACGCAAGCCGCCGCCGCAGCGACTTCTGCATCCGCACCAGCAGCAGCCACGACAGGCAATGCGAGTAATGCTCTCAGTACTGGTGGCGTTGCAAGCAACAGCACCCAATTAGCTGGTGCAGCGTCAGGTGCTCCTGGTGCTAGAGGCGGAGCGATTCCAAGCTCGGCCGGTGGCGGCGGTCGCGTCGATTCTGCACGCATTGCCTTCAAGAGCAAGGTGGTTAGCCGAGGTCATGCTGAAGTCTGGTGCGAATCAGGTGGCAATGTGAGTGAAGCGAGCTTGTGCTTTGCCGCTGCCATTTATGATGGCCAAAGCGTTCATGCTGACGCACAAGCTTCCACGTTTGACAGTTCTTCATCCGAGACACCAAATCGTCCTCAGGTACTTTCCTGAATCACATCCGGCTATCAGCACCGAACGCCGAGAGCAGACCGTTTCCCATCAAGGATGGCGACGTGGTGCAGCTGGGCGTGGATTACCAAGGTGGCACGGAAGAGATTTATCGCTGCGTCAAAATGCGTGTTGAGCTCAATCGCGGATGGCAGAGAGCCGCGAACGAGTTTAAGTGAGTATGGGCTGCCCTCACAAAAAGAATGGACGAAACAATCTGACTGCGGTTCTACGCCTCTTTTCGCTTGGCAGCATGAGTGCCCTTCGTCAGCTTCGCGCATTGCAAGGGACACCGATGGAAAGTGCAAAGGCAAAGACGCCGGCAATTGCGACAACAGGCCCTCAGCCTCCCACCAATCGTCAATCGATGAGTGTGACGGATTGCTGCATCTGTGAGTTGCGACTAGACACGGTGACTCTTCACCTTGCGCGCTGTCGTCTTACTCACTGCTGTCCGCCCGACGTCGTCTCGTGCACCAGGCCTATTCTCGGTCACTGTATGCCAGTCCCTCTTCATCGCACCCTGCTCGCACGTCTTTCATTACAAATGCATCAGGCCCCTGTTGCTCCAGCATCACCCTGGATTCTCTTGCCCCTTGTGTAGGACCTTTGCGGACTTAGAAGCCGACGTGGAGCAAGATGACGCATGGCAAGAAGCGCTGATCAAGGAAGCGGAGAAATTGGCTTCTGCTGCAGACCCTGAAGTCTCTGCCAGCACGCCGATGGCCGAGATAGAGCCTTCGCCTTTGGCAATGGCAGACAGCACCGGCTCTCCGCTCGCGCACCACTCGCATCAACCGTCCGACTCTCTGACGGTAGCAGGCTCCCACGTCAGGCGCCCTGCACCTGCTGAAGCGCCTCGGACGAATGGCTGGGCAAGGCCCGGCACTGCGGTGGCGAATGGCCCAGCGCCAACTCATAGTCTTGACGCAACGGCTGCCGGTGGCTCCAGCCAGTCACGCAGTGCGGCCACCCCGCCTCTCGAATCACCCGGCAATGCGGGGATGGAGGACGAGCAGGAGGAGCTCATGGATGAGGCCGCCGACTACGCGAACCTCATCGACGAAGGAGATTTGGCTGGCCTTACGACTGTAGCAGGCGTGTCCGAGTCTCGCAGAGGCAGCAACCCGATAGACATGCCTGCAGGGCAGCAAAGACATTCATTTGCCCCACCCATACCTTCGCCAAGCGCCGATCTAGAAAATGCGCGAACGCCTCAAAACAATACGTTCTTGTCCACCTTGGCCGAGGCGCCAGCGCCCGCCCGTAGCGCGATCCGAGGTGCTGCATCAAGCGAAATGTCTCGACCAAACATGCCCAGTCTGAGCGCTGCGCTTCGTGCGGACGAAGTTCCGCTTGCCTCGAATGAGGCGGAGCGCTTTCTTCACGCATCTGGGGACCTTCGACGGCCAAGCGAAGTGTCCGTGCAGAGTGACTTCGAAGTATTTGCTACGCCTCAGGACGGAAATTCGCCCAGCGCAGCGCATGCCAAAGCTCGCGGTATCCCCTCCAATCAGGAAGACACCGCTCAGCTCTTTGGTGCGTCTACACCTTTCGCGTACGCTTCTGAGCTCGACGATGGCGATCTGACTGGGCCGAGCTCTCTTGACGGACCATCCTCCCAAACGCATGGGCGACCCAGCTCAACAAAAGGCAAGCGG